ATATCTCTAAGTTTGATGCCTACCCGATGCCTCGAGTGGATGAGCTAATAGAGCGATTAGGTAAGGCCAGGTATCTGAGTACCCTGGACCTCACCAAGGGATACTGGCAGGTTCCCCTGACAGAGAGAGCAAAAGAAAAAACTGCATTTTTCTACCCCTGATGGGTTGTTCCAATATAAAGTACTGCCATTTGGGTTGCATGGTGCCCCAGCCACTTTTCAGCGTATGATGGATAGGATACTTCACCCCCACAGAGAGTATGCAGCCGCCTACCTGGATGATGTGGTGATTCACAGTCCGGACTGGGAAACCCACTTGATGAAGGTACAGGCAGTTGTGGATAGTATTAGGGCTGCTGGTTTGACAGCCAACCCTGCTAAGTGCTCTTTAGGGCTAGAGGAAGCAAAATATCTAGGTTACACAATCGGGCGGGGGCTCCTTAAACCACAAGAGAGCAAGGTAGCGGCCATCACCGGTTGGCCACGTCCTGTAACTAAAAAGCAGGTCAGGGCTTTCTTAGGCTTAACTGGCTACTATCGCAGGTTCAACTCTGAGTTTGCTACCATTGCCAACCCATTGACTGAGCTTACTAAGGCAAAAGGCCCGGTTATGGTTAAGTGGACCCCGGAAGCAGAGCACGCCTTTCAAGTCTTGAAAGAAGCCTTGTGTGCTGACCCTGTTTTGGTGGCTCCGTATTTTACTAAACCATTTGTGGTACAGACCGATGCATCTGATGTGGGCCATGGCGCGGTTCTTTTCCAGGTACATGAAGGAGAGGAACATTCTGTCATGTATCTGAGCCGGAAAATGAATCCCCATGAACGGCGGTACTCCGTTGTTGAAAAGGAGTGCCTGGCAATAAAGTGGGCTTTAGAATCCTTGAGGTATAACTTACTGGGGAGACGATTTACACTGATCACGGACCATGCACCTTTAACATGGATGAGGCAGAACAAGGAAAAAAATGCCAGAGTGACTAGGTGGTTCCTAAGTCTTCAACCCTACCAGTTTACTATAGCTCATAGGGCCGGAACTGCCCAGGGTAATGCAGATGGCCTCTCCTGCGTTCACTGTCTATGGTTCCAGGCCGCTCGCCCCGATGGGTCTGAGCTGGGGAGGGGGATATGTTATAAGGTGAATGGGGTGGTCTGTGAGGGAGTTTATAGTTCATCTACATTGTTCAGAGAGTCATATGATCTTTAACCCCAGGGGGAATGTATGTATGTATATGACTTGAATGCATATTTAGTTATGGGCCCCTGGGGTGGAGCATTTGGAGAGAAGGGTGGGCCAGTGCTCCACTCCACTATTTACTGTTTTCTCTTGGGAGACTAGGTCCAGACCAGGCTTTGGACTGTCTACAACCCACTGCTCAGCTGCAGGTAATCAGCTGCAGCAGTGGGAATAAACCCCTCCCTGCTAGGCAGGTAGGGGAGAATGTTTGTTTATTTCTCTCCTGAAGGGCTGGAAGCAGCAGGCTGTCAAAAACACTGGAATGCTGAGAGCTGAAAAAGACGCTAGGTTGGTGAAACCATTTCTTGTTTTTGTTATAGATTAAACCCTTGAGAGAGAGAGAGGGAACTTGATGTCAGTTAGTGCTCAGACCGAGCTAGGTTTTTGTTTATAGGATTTTGTTACATTTTGTTTTCATTTGCTGCTGTAGCTGTGGTGGAGTTTGACAATAAAACTGCCTGAATTATATGCAAACCAAAGGACTGTGCCTGTTGTTTACCCTAGAGGACCGTGCTACCTGCAGACAAGGATCACAATCTGTATAATACTAATATTGCATATGTATTCAATTTCTAGGTATCCGGATAACGGTCTGTCTAGCAAAACCAACCAAAAATGAAGTTGTGCTCAAAAAAAAAAAAAAAAACACGGTATATTGTGCAGTTATAAATAATAAGAATTTTTAATTCAAGTGATATACTGTGATATTGATAGCAAGATGTATGAATGAAGATGTATGAATGTTAGAGTTAAACATCAGAAGGTACATCAAGGCAAGGACACTGTAGCCTAGAACACTATTACCGTTTCTAATCCAAAATATAATTAATCATGTTTACAATATACAGCGCCGCAGATTATGTTGGCGCTTAAATACATTACAAATACATCTGCAAGCAGCAAAATAAAGGTGGCCAAACACAAAAGCCTGTAGAGAGCACATAAGCAGATATTGCAGATAGAGACTTAAAAAATATCAGTTTTACCACAGGGCGCAGTATACTACGACTGACAAACACCTGTCCCTGGCCACCAAGAGCTCACCCTATTTTACTGTCTCAAGATTTCTGTCTCTTCTTCAATCTACATTCTTCATCTTTACTTTCCTATCCACTCTATCCACTATGCAAGCACACTAGACTTGCAACCCGGCAGGAGGAGGGGAAAGCTAGAGTACAGCTGAGATGAACAGACCGCTTAAGGGGACAGGTATAAATTGGCACAAACCTATCAAAAGCTTGCTGACATTTATATGTGCAGTACCTATCTCACCACTGTCTTCAGCGAACCTGAACCTACTGTTCGCTAATTACGAGTCTCATCGCGGCAATCAGCCAACAAAACCTACTCCTCAAATATACTGCCATTGTATATAGTTGTACTTGTTTGACAACAAAACAAAATCCTGATGACAATGCAAATATGTCGCAAAATATGTCTAATGACTGTACTAACTACCCAAATTTGCTTTCTGTAACCTATAAACAGTCATTATACTGTCACAGCCTTGCATAAGACTGTATTATTGTATCATTGCTTGTCTATCAGAGCAAAAATAAAGAATAAAAAAAATATCAGTTTTATAAACTTGGACAATTTTGAAAATTAAGTTATGTAATTCAATAAGGCTAACAGACCTCATGACATATGGTGCCAGGATAAATACAAAGCATGTTGGATTTTGTGGTTAGTAATCGTATAATAGTTATTTTAAACATTTGTGACGCCAATTACAAAGTAACTGACAATGCACATGACTAACTAATACTACTAACCAGTAGAGAGGATAACAAGCCTAAACGCATGGATGCAGCACATGCATAGAAAGATATTGAATATGATAAAGGACATTCAAAGATTTACATTTTCAATTATATAGTCGGGATTTGGGGTCATTAACCCCTTCAGGACGGAGGCAATAGTACACGTTCTGATCAAAACAAAAAGTAAACAAAAACTGAAATTTGCGCTATATGTCTGTTCAACCGTAATTCACCTCTTTCATATTAAATGCACCCACACTTATTATATATAATTTTGTTCAGGAGAAACAGGGCTTTCATTTCATATCAAATATTTATATATGAAACATAATTTATTATGAATAAAATTTAAAAAAACTGTAAGAAATTGTAAAAATTTTTTTACAAATTGTAGTTCCGCCTCACATTTTAGCTGTAAATGTCATAATACTGTTAGGTTTTACTGCAAAAAAATTCACATATTTGTAATCAGTGATGTCTCACGAGTACAACAGTAACCCCCATTAACAGGTTTTATGGTGGTTTTATAGCCTCTTTTTTAGTGACTCTGTAACTTTCCAAAACACCATAAAACCTGTACATGAGGGGTACTGTTATTCTCTGGAGACTTTACTAAACACAAATATTAGTGTTTTAAACCAGTAAAACATATTACAACAATAATATGGTCCATAAAAGTGCTGTTTGTTTGTAAAAAATCCAAAAAACATCACTTTTACTTAAAATATCATCGTTGTAATACAATTTACCAGTTTTAAACACTAATATTTGAGTTCAGCGAAGTATCCTGAGTAAAACAGTACCCCCTATGTACAGGTTTTATGGTGTCTTGGAGAGTTACAGGGTCAAATATAGTGCTTGCGAATTAAATTCTCTGCACTTTCTCCCTGTGTTGTCAGGCATGTCAATCAAATTTTAATTAATCAAATCACATAATTATGTTAAAAGATTACTTAAATATACATGTAGAATTTTAATATATATGCATTTATAGGTATTTAAATTCTACGTGTATACTAATGTAATCTCTTATGTAATTATATGTATTTATCTATATATATATATTTACGGTTATTTGTATTTTATATATAGATATATATAGAATGTCATTCTAAGTGTATTTTGTTGCCAATATATATATAAATAACAAAATACAGTTAGAATGAAATTACATATGAATATATAATTTATATAAAATTGTTTCAATATTTTATTTATTTTATTTATTATTGTAATTATACGTGTGTGTATATATAATATGTGTATATATCTATTATATATATATATATAACGTCATTCTAAGTGTATTTTAATAATATATACTAATATTAGTATTAAAATACACTTTGTATGAAGATATATATATATAAAAAATACTTTTCATTTAATTTTAAACATGTTTAATTATTTATTTTTACACTACCTACCAGCAGGGGGACTGTCTGATATTTCAGACAGTCCCCCTGCTGGCAGATCCACAGCCAGCTATAGGGGGCCATATTTGCAGGGGGAGGGCTGCCTGGGCTGTCAGGCAGCCTCCCAGAAGAGGATCGCGGCGGAGGTGAGTAGATCTCATCTCCTGGGGCTCAAAGCGGTTACGGCGTTCTATGCCGCCACAACGGCTTTAAAGCCGCAACGGCATAGAACGCCGTAACGGCGTTACGAGGTTAATCATAAAAACCAGCATGGCTGCAAGACCATATGATATATGGGCTTCACAATGCAAATGGCAGAGCACACCATAACTATTATCAGCTGGTTTCAGCTTAAAATGTTTTTGCATGAATTATAAGCAAACATATTTTCTTGCATGACTGTGCACAGCAATATGTAAATCTGTAGCACAATGGTTATGGAATAGCAGATGTTTTCGGGGGCCTATGACTATTTGGTTGCAAAAGATATAGAGCACTATAGGTCTCTAAAAGAAAAATAAACAAAGAGGAGGAATTTTTTTTTAATTAACCGGGACCTCCGGTCATGAGTTCCAGAGGATACTGGTTCGGACTCCGAGTGCAGTAACGATAATCCAGACGATGGAGCATCGCAATGCACTATTTCTTCGATAATTGAAAGTCTCATGTGCTCCATCGCCTGGCGCTGTGCCATGCTGACCTGGGACACCACACGGTCCATTTGTGTTTGTGGTTGATAACCCAGGTCTGCCTCCTTATAGCTCGAACCAAATACTCCAGCAGCTCCTCGATCCATTGCAGGGATCCTCCTGGGCCAGGTGATGGCTCTGTCTGGAGAGGTGGCAGTGGCTGGTCAGGTGGCGGTGAGATGGGTGGCTCTTGTGCAGCCACACTGTGAGCAGTCTCAAAGACGGACCCTGGGCCCATGTCCTCCTCCATGGAGAAGGCAATCGATTCTGTAGAGGACAGCGCTGCCTCAATCACACTGTCCTCATGTGATGGGAGGACAGGTAAATGAAGTGAACTGTCCTGTTCGCCTCTCCCGACAGACTGCCTTTGACCTGAAATAGATGAGATAGGCAATGTTAGTAACATGCAAACAAATGGATTTGTGGACATGTGTAACAAATTCCCCAGTACTGGGAAGAAGGACATCCAGGCGGTAAATACCCCCACTCTATAGGGGTAACCGTCACAACATGTTATAGACATTCACAAGAAAAATAATGATAAGGTGGTGACCCCTGGATCTAGCAAGATTGAGGGGAAGCCATAATATCAAGTCTCCAAAAATAGAGAATGGTCGCCTAAACTGTGCTCTCAAGTCAGTAGGGTTTAACCCTTAAATATACAAAATAGAGAATGAATCTCAATGAGCACCCCAGTGGATCAAGGACTCAACAAGTGAGAGCACAGTGAAAAAGGATGAGGTGTATATACACAAGGGATATTGTTACAGAGGGGACGAAGAGACCCTACCTAAGTTGAAACTAAATTTAAAAACGTGAGAAGAGAAAAAGGTATAAATGTCCACTAGGGGAGAAAATTAATACCAAAGCAATGGTGTGCAGGTACAGGGAAAATAGGATAGTATAATATATCTTATGAAGACTATCCCTAATAATCTCCTCTTAGTAAGAGAATGATTCAGGAGGATAGATATGGGCTAAGGCTAAAAATCCCTGAAAATAGTAAAGGTGCCCCTATATACGAGATGGCTATAAGTACAACAGGTACAGCAAATCTCCTGGAAAGTGGACACACGAATAGAGGGATGGGAAGTCTAAGCTCATAAGCGTATCTGCAATAGTCAGAAGGTAGTAGGAAGGGCTACAACCCTGCATGAACCCAATCCCTAAGATCTAAAAGATAATGAAAGCGTGCTGGCTGTACCCTGCATAGGATAGCAATAAAGAAAACTTAAAAATATAAGTGCCCATCGTGCTACCCAAGTGGAAACAGAAGTGTAAAAGCTAAAATAGCCCGAAGCACGTTTGTGTGCTCACACACCGCCGTCAGGGGCAAAGTGAGTGGTTAGATTCAATGATGCGTATATATACCCTATTAATCAGCCTTTCATCTAGAATTCAGTGCAGCGGTGAGGCTGGGTGGTACAACAGGTAAGCCACATGTGGACGTGTTGTACCGCCCAGCCTCTCAGCTGCACTGAATTCTAGATGAAGGGCTGATTAATAGGGTATATATACAGATCATTGAATCTAACCACTTACTTTGCCCCTGACGACATCATTGTGTGTAATGCATAGGTTATCATTCTGTGTAATGCATAGGTAATGATGACGTGTCATGTTTAGATGCAGTTTCTACTTACGTGGAGGAGAAATGGGCCCAGGTCCTCTCTCAGAGGGTGTCCCTTGTGGGATACGGAAGTCTGTTAAAGATGGATGAAAAAGTACACATATGTTTTTAAGATATCCACTATAAAAAATAAAAAGACACAGTTTTATGATTACATATTTAAAAATTAAAAACTGCATTAAGGTGGGTGTATGTGGAAGGGAACTGCAAGATCTAGACTAAAGTAGCCAATACGGTAGAAGAGCGGAATTGGAGAATATTTTAAACCTGTTTTGGCCTAGATGTTGAATTTCCTTGCTAATTCACCCTAAGTCACATGTTTTTGAATACAATGTTATAAAGGGACACTATAGTCACCCAGACCACTTCTTTAAGATGAATGTCTGTGGTCCTGTATGTCACGGCAAGGGTACATAATTTATTATTACACTATGGAATATTGCTGTTTAATATAACTTGTGTAGTGCATCAATACTTTGACTCCTGGGTAGAGGACAAATGGAAGAGAGAAATTGCTCGTTTGATCAAAAGGGGCTTCTGCAAGGTGTGAAAAGGATTGCCCTTTTGATCTATCAAAGGCCCTGGAAGGTGAGATACGTTATAGGACTAAGGATAACGTTTAACTGGACCTTAGCATGGCCGGACTTTGTGGCTAAGTGGCTACTACAAAAGACTGGATATACCATTTTGAATACTGTGGGTTGTCTACTTTTACAAATGGTATGCCGTGATGGGGTTAATTTTCATTCCTGGGCTGGTATATGGTATCAAAGGCTACATCGGCCCAGCAAACCAATCTGGTAAATTTCAATGTGCAAAGATGGAAAAGGGGAAAGTTCTACATTTGACCCCTGTAAGTTTGCAAAAACCCATAAGACCCGTACATTGGGGGCACTGTTGTACTTGGGAGATGTTGCTGAACACATATTGGGGTGTTCTTTGGCAGTAACACATGACAGGAACTGACAATCCATGCCTAAAGTACAATGTGAGAGAAAAATAACACAAACAAATGACTACCCAAAAGTTTGACAAAGACTGTTGGTAGAATTAGTGCATGGAAAGTGTTAAAATACCACCATTTGAAATACCCTAGGATGTCTACTTTTCAAAATATATGGGGGTAAATAACATTGGCCGACTTCAAAAATGTGAAGAGAAAATTCCAAGTTGGGAAAACTGGAATGTGCACCATCTAAATAAAGTCTTTTAGGCCTCAGAGAACCTGACACAACTATACATTGGGGTATCACTGTACTCAGGAGATGTTGCTGAACACATATTGGGGAGTTCTTTGGCAATAACCCTTAAGGTTCTCCATACATGTATTCTTAAATTGCTGTGTGTGTCAAAAAAAATCACCATTTTTTTTTAAATTTGGCATAGATTGGTGGTAAAATGGTGGCATAAAAAGATTCAAAACACCCCAAGTTTAATACCTTATGTTGTCTTCTTTTAAAAAATATATACATGTGAAGGTTTATTCAGGGATTCCTGACAGATATCAGTGTTACAATGTAACTTGGGTTAATTTTGCAAAAATGTTTTGGGAAAAGTGCTACTTGTACTTATAGCCCTATAACTTTCCAAAAAAAGCTAAGGACATGTTAAGATTGGGATTTCTTAACTCAGGACAAAATTTAGAAACTATTTAGCATGGGTGTTTTTTGGCGGTTGTAGATGCTTAATAGATTTTGGGGGTCAAAGTTAGAAAAGGTGTGTGTTTTTTACATTTTTGTCATCATATTTTATATATTTGTTTTATAGTAAATTATATGATAGGATATGATGAAAATAATGGTATCTTTAGAAAGACCATTTAATGTCGAGAAAAACGGTATATAATATGTGTGGGTACAGTAAATGAGTAAGAGGAAAATTACAGCTAAATACAAACACTGCAGAAATGTAAAAAGACCCCTGGTCCTTAACAGTAAGAAAATTAAAAAATGGTCTGGTCGCTAAGGGGTTAAATAACCCCCCTGCAAATCCGACTGGCCGTAAATGGCCTTTGACCCCAAAATGTGCTTGTGTGTTTTTTACACCGTCATCACCGTGGGCAGACGTGGGGCTACAATATGGCGTGGATCCGCAGCGGCCGGCGTCCACCGACATGTTGTCGAAGTCAGGCGTACAGGCGCAGGACCATTGGGCGGCAGCTCTATTACAGCTAGGAAGGCAATCTCCACTGCAAACACCATAAGGTGGGAATGAATACGTGACACATATGGCCTGAAACTCTCAATTGATAGTTCAAGAGAAACATTCATATTTACCCCACAGAATAATAATTAAGCCTCATTTTTGTTATATTTGGAATATGACAAGTGCCATCTTCTAAACAAGCCCAAACACGAGTGTGGCTGAGCCCTAGTCCTAGCAGGGACTCTTCTCCGCTGGTTTCTCCAACATACACTCTGGAACAAGTAGAATACTCCAAGGGAATAGCCAAACACAGTAAAATACTCCAGAAATCTCCCACCTCATTCCCAGCAACTGGACGACACTCAGCTCTGGGGGTATAACTAATTTTAATGGAGCCACACACTGCCTTTTATAAGAATCCCCATGCAAGGGGTTTCCAAACACACATTCCAGGGGCATTCCCCACTGGACCTGAGAGTAGACTGAGACAAAATACACAACATAATTACATTAACTCTCAGGTCCAGGACATGTACAATAATAATCACCCTAAAACATACAGTTCTCCACAAGATACCCCCTTAAGTCCTATATCCCCAGATAGCCTTGGTCTGAGATCCCAATATATCCAAAAAGTGCTCAGATCCCACCAACGCAGCTGAAACGCCACCAGGGCTTTGTTTAGACCGACCGCACATGAGGCGCCTGCCCCGTTGAGTGTTCCGATTCTAGTTCCATGCACTGGACGACCTAACATCGCTGTCTCTGTTTGTGGCTCAAGATGGCCGCCGCCACGTGTTCACACATAAGAACGGCGGCTACCCAGCCGACCGCTTGGAATGTTCAGGTTATTGCAATTGGTGGAGGTGTGAACAGAGGTTACTGGGGTTAACGAGCAGCACACTCCACATATGGGTGGTCTGGCATTCGGTAATTTGTTCGGTTGTGGAACAAGACGTTGTTAATATGCGAGGTGGCTGCTATTTTACCGAACGGCCAGACGAACAGGGGGAATAACAAGATGATCCAGGGACTATGAACATGAAACATAGGAAATAACAGGGGGGACAAGATACGAACATGTTTCGGTCCGGCGTCATTCCCACGTGGTTGTGGGAATGCCTCCCATCACTCACCCCTTGTGGTGACTCCTCCTCCTCTCACAGCAGTCGGCTCTCTGAGCATTAGAGACGCCGGCCGCTGCAGCTTTGAAGTATATAAGGGTTTTCCTGTTTAACCCTTAAAGGGCCAGTTCAGTAATTATCATGAAAGTGTTTCACATACTCGCCCATGATCACATGCTTCCCTGTAGCCAATCAGGGAGCACTTTAGAGTACATAAGCTTGTTTTGTCCATTTCTCTGTGCCCTGTCGTGGTTTCCATATTGGTAATCCGAGAGCGCGTTCCTTGTATTGATTCTTGTGTAGTTTCCCTTGGCTTTGACTACCCGATCTATGTATTCCTTGACCT